CTCAGTGAGGGGACAGAAGGAGAAGATGGGAGTTTTAGCAGTGGGTGGGGTTGGTTTGCTGTCCTGTGTGTGGGGGGTTGAGAATTGACTACTGATTGTTCTAGTTTTGTCTGTGAAGAATGTGGCTAAATCATCAGCTGTTATAGAAGTGGTGGAGGAGGACAGAGTAGATAATTGAATGTCTTGAAGAGATTACATGTGTCTGGAGCACTGTTGATCTTGTTGTGGAAGTATGAAGATTTGGCAGTATGGACTTGAGCAGAGAAAGATGAAAGCAAAGACTGATACATACTCAGGTCTGACGGATCTTTTGATTTGCGCCATTTTCTCTCTGCTGCCCTGAGTTTGGTCCGATGCTAACAAAGAACATCGGATAACCAGGGGTTAGAAGGGACAGTCTGTGCTGGCCTGGAGGAGAGAGGACAAATATAATCTAGACAAGAGGTTAAAGTAGAGCATAAAGTGTTAGTTGCTGCATTCACATCCAGAGATGAGAAATGGGTAGGTGAGGGAAGAGAGGAGGATACTACGGAGAAAAGATGGGAGGGGGAAAGGAAGCATAGGTTTCGTCTAAAAGTAACCGGTATAGGAGTTGGTGGCACACTGGTAGAAAAATGTAGTTGGTCAGAGATATGTAGAGGTGTGATAAAGTTCGCGAGGAGAAAGGAAGAAGTCGGAGTCGGCGTGACTGATGCTCGTGCTAATTTATTCAGTCTAACACAGTAACAAACAAGGGCATGTCCACACGCATAAAGTAAACATAAATTCAGAGCACTTTGGCAATATTCTCTCCGATAACAGTCCATACGCCACGAATAGTCTAATAAAATCGACGAATCGCAACAGCCCTAGGTGTGAGAGAAAGAAAAATTGTTAGACAGAGCAGCTGGGGTTACGGAATCTTCTGGATTTGAAAGAAAAAGCAGAAATGAAGTCTGCTTTGTTGACAGCTGATTTGACAATTCCAGAGACCCACAGAGAAAGAAAGAGGTGCTGTAGAGGATGTAGAGATAGGATGCAGGTTAGCAAGATTGCATTTGTGTCTGCGTGTGAGGTTAGAGAGCTGTCGAGAGAAAACTGGAATGTTTTGGAAAAACATGATACAGGTGAAAAAGAGAGGATAGAAAAGGAAAGTGTGTAAAGGGAAGATAAAAAAATAACACTTGAGTGCGTTGCCGGTTTTGTTGCAATCAAAAATACAAACTCCAATGAAAATACAAAGTAGAAATAGGTAGAAAACTAAATATTCCTTCCTAGCAGCAAGTAATAATTTAAACAACAGATCTATAAACAAGTATTACGCAAAACACTCACACGCAGCCGTCCGTCTCTTCTGTTGACTAATCGCTTCTCCCAAGTTATGACAGTGAGCAAGCAGTTTAAATAGTCTACCCCCACACACCACCCCCCCAGCACTACCAAACCTGCTGCTGTCGCCACCATCTGTAAAACTTAGTGGCGCTGGTGCCACTGCTCTCAAATGTTAGTCTGGAGCCCTGTAGACGTAAGCGCTAGAGACAACTTTTCTTGTAAAACGTGACACCAAGATCGCAAAATCGAAAGCAAAAGTGCCTTTTCTTTTTCCTTTGCTCATTTGGATCCTCCCTGTCTGCACCTGTGCTATCATCATCAGTTGTGTCGGAGTCTGTATGCTGGCTTGTTGGCTCGTCCTTTCCACCAGCATCCTCGCCCTCCACACTTTGTTTTTTAAAGTAATCCGCTATCGACCTTTTCATTTTTAGATGACTTAATTCCTAAATTTCCTGAATTCCTAATTTGTGCGTTTCATCATCAGTGCGCCATCCAAAATGCACACACACAGCAATGAACACACACACACACACACACCGTGAACACACACCCGGAGCAGTGGGCAGCCATTTTTTTGCTGCGGTGCCCGGGGAGCAGTTGGGGGTTTGGTGCCTTGCTCAAGGGCACCTCAGTCATGGTATTGAAGGTGGGAGAGAGTGCTGTACATTCACTCCCCCCACCTACAATCCCTGCCGAAACGAGGCTCGAACCCGCAACCTTTCGGATTAGGCCACGACTTCCCCCTTAAAAAAAAAAAAAGCACGCCCATTGCTCCAAGCTGCAGCTACCCCTACTAGGCCCTCGATCCGCACTTCTGCCGAGCCCGCACTGGGGCGAGCTTCGCAGCAGACTTCTACCCGACAGTCAAAGCGCCATTACGTCACAAAAGTGCAGACTCAGAGGAAGACCGCGAGGGTTTAGGGTTTAGGGCATTGATCCTCAAATCTGGCTCGCGAGATCACTTTCCTGCAGAGTTTAGCTCCAACCCTATAATCAAACAAACTCATACAAGTTTGATATTGCAGCTTTTATTTTGTTGGGGTAATAATAAAAACAATCTTCTTATTATCACCCCAAGAAAATAAAAAATGCAAATAATTTTTTTCCATTGCGAGTATGTCAAAACATTAAAATGCCCATATTATGCCATTTTTAAGGTTGCTAATATTGTTTTATGAGCCTCCTAAAACAGGTTTACATGCATGCTAGGTCAAAAAACACGTTAGTTTTCTCAAAAAATAGATTTAATTTTACCTCATTTCCAATTCGTAAACGACACGTGCAAAGCAGTTCAAAGAATCAGTCTCTCTAAACCCCTCATTTCCATGAGCCCTCCCTGCTGTGATTGGTCAGATGGCGCAGTCCTTTGTGATTGGTCTACCGCGTACAGCACGTGTCGGAAACGAAACACCCATTGCCATGACGGAATGACAGCCCTGGAGACTTGTCAATACATAGAAAAGATGGTATTGATTGTACCTTACCAATTCGAGCCAGAGTCTGATGATGAAGCGATTGAACTGGCTGATCGACAAGAGACTGATTCGCAAGCACGACTGGAGCAGGATGTTTCTCAGTGGTTCTGAGAGTCAAGTGTTAACAAGTTTGTGGTAATTATAAGATGTGATAAAACAAATTTACTCTCACAGCGTAGGATACAGCGTCTTCTCGACATGATGTTAATCACACGGAAATTTTACTGTTTGTGGGCGTGCAAGTTGGCGACGTAGAACATGGGCGGACATTATGCAAATGTGTTACTTTGTGACATAGAGCCAAAACAGAATAAGATTCGAATTCCTGATGACTAGTTTAGGCGATTGCAAGCCGACTCTTTTTTTTTGAAAGACAGTAACTTTATTTATCATGCACTGTCGACTTCACAACTTTGCAGATAGTTTATGTTCACATACAGCTACATGATGCACTACATGAAAGGTAATATTTGAAAAGGCATAACAGGGGCACTTTAACGTTACACAAAATAACTGTTGTTTAGCCTACTTCCATACTATTTTTACTATTTTAATGCGAGACATCTCATAATAATGAATGCCTAACATCGAAGTAGGATCTTCTAAGCTGCTCTTGGAAGGCAGTATTTGTATTTGTCTGGTCATGTGACCTCAACATGTCTGTCCACGAGGTGTCCTACTCCATGACAAATAAAACCTTTTTAATCAGGACACTCATATGACATTCTTCAAAAATATAATTTCTTTCTGTAGAGCTGGACATTTTAAAAAGGATCAAATGAGAGTTCAGCTTTGAGAATGAAAACTAACCTGTTTGTTCCTCAGTATCTTCTTGTTTCAAGCTGAATACTTCTTCAACCTTAATGTCTTCACTCTCCTCCTTAATAAACGCCATCTTTATAATAGTGTGTCACGTGGATCTCTGCTGCTTCACCAGGAGTTTTTCTGTGTGTTTGGATAATTTGTCATGTTTAAGATAAGAATAATTAATATAAAGAAAACTAGGCAAAATCTCTGAGTGCATCTCAATCAGCTCCCTAGTTCAGAAGTCAATGCACTGGTAAGGAGTCAGTCAGCGTTAAAGGTGCCATAGAACGGAAAACTGTATTTACCTTGGCATAGTTGAATAATAACAGTTCTCTACATGGAAATGACATACCGTGAGCCTCAAACACCATTGTTTCCTCCTCCTCATGTAAATCTCGTGCATGCAAAAGACCACTGAAAAATAGGCGAATCAGAACATAACACCGACTGTGACGTTACAGTCGGGATCACTAATAGTTACGCCCCCAACATTTGCATATACCCGCCCATGTTCTATGCCAGCCGACAGCCAAATCATCAGAAGTTCTGCAGGTATTGTGAAGAAACAAGCAAGGATAATAGCGAAAATGGCAGCTCATGGAAATAAATGTTATGTTCCAGGCTGTGCAGGGGATGTGATGTGCAGGGATGGGTTGGTGTCTGTATTCAGAAAGGCACGGAAAACAAATAACGCGTGTTCTAATAAAATAACGCGAGTCATTAAAGGGATATGGTTAGCTGCTTGCTAGCGGTAGCCTGTTACATTACAGTACATACGATTTCACTTTCCACACAAACAGAGTAAGGAGAGATGACGGAGGATGATGGCGAATGATTTACAGATCCTGAGCACCACTGACAAGCATCTGATCTTGTAAAATGTATGGTAAGTACTGCCGCTGTAGTTTACACTAATCACGTGCGATCGCAAATCTCGAAAGTGAAAGTAAAAAGCGATCGTGCATTCGCATATCCCCGCATATTAATAGCGGCTCCCTGATGCCC